CGATATGTCATACAGTTTTACCGTAACGCATTTCCGCAAATTCGAATTTCGTCGCCAGTGGGATTCGAACTCTTGTCCTGCCGCTTGGGGGTGCGACAACTGGAAAATCAATTTTTATGTTATAAATTTTATAATAAACCATAAGAAATTACAAATTTTAAAGATCTATACTGCAAAATTTTATTAATACAACTACATTTGTATCTTATGTAAAAAATGATCTTGATCTTATTCTAAATTAATTTATATAAAAAAAATTAATTTTAATAAATTTGTCAATTTTCTTCTTTTTTATAGTTTCTAGCCCAAAATAACAAAATAAATTTAATTAATATCACTATTTATTACTTACTATAACAATACCAGGGCAGCATCTCTAAAGTTCAGATTAATAGTCATTGTTATTGCTGCAGCATATAATTAGTAAACTATTTTGATTGGATTTTCTGTGTAAGTAAGCTATAGATTAGTCTTTATTATATAACATATAATATAATTTTAACCAGAATTATATTCTGTAACAACTAGGAACCGGAAACCGGTATAAGTCCGGAGCCCATAACAGCATTTAATTAATGACCCTAACCCCTGAAAAATCTGGTCATATATATCGCAGATCAAAATTTTCAGGGGCGTTACAAACGGAAAATGCCGAAACTACGTTTTTGATATTATTATTATAGATGCATCAAAATCGTAATTTCAGTCATCAAAGCATAAACATGTAAGTCCTCCGCTTCGCTCCGGACAATGATATTGATCATCAACTCAAACTTCAGGGGCCACTCTGATGACATCATTTACTGTTACATAGGACCGATATGGCAAAATAACTGTTAAAGCTATTGATTACTGTGCTATGTGGACTGTTATAATCATAATCTTGCAAAGATAATAACTAAATCTTGTAAGGAAAATAACTGTTAAAACCACTGATTACTGCGCCACATGAACTGTTATGATCATAGTCTCGCAAATAATAACCGTTAATTACTGTACCATATGGGCTGTTAAGATATCATCTTGTAAGGAAAATAACAGTTAAAACCGTTAATTACTGCGTTATAAAAATTTTTGGGTTCTGCAGGAGTTTTTAGGGGTTCCTGATATCTGAGTTTTTCTAATTGTTAAATGGCTGACTCTTGGGACCTTGGGAAAGTCAATTGACATTTCCCAGAGGCTATATTTACATAATAAGTGGAAGCTCCCTAAGGGAAAATTATTCGTGATATTTTTTCAAGAAGTAACATCAATATTTTATAAATTTAAATAATTTGAATTTATATTTACTAGAAATTAACTCAAATCCCAATAAGCAAAATTGGGCTTGACTCATCGTCATGAAGCAGCAGCAATAGGCATAATAAGTTTACACCTTATTGAATGAAAAATAAGCAAAATGTGGCAACCATTATCACGCTTAGCAATCGAGTATTAGATTTTATGGTCGTACACCATTTCTTTTTCACAAACCATAAACTTTGTGATTTCATCTCTTTGTTCCTGATATTTGTGATTTCATCACTCGTTCCTGGTATAATCATTCGTTAATCAAAGTATCTGGAACAATCTTATTAATTTTTTCTTATGTGACTTAGTCGATTGGTCAGTCTATTACCGAACAACTAAATGTATTTTAAAAAAAATACTAGATAAGATGGGTGACGCAAAGCACTATTGTATAAAAAAATTAGAATTGGGTTTTAAGAAGAATCTGAGTGAAGCGATTCGGGAGTCATAATAAAAAGAAATCAACGTTAACATATAAAAAAAAAGAATAAAAGCTACGCATGTTTGTTACAATCCTGGCCAGCATTTCATAATAATCATAAGATCGCAAAGTAGGTAGCAAGAACTTCTCCTCAGCATTATAATATATACAATAAATGAAAATAAAAAAAAAACTAGATTTACAAAGAGGCCAATGAAGTGAGGCTGAAGGTTTATTAAAAAGTAATTTTAAACCCTAAAAAATTCCTAATTTACTAAATTAAAGCATTATTAATAATCGGTAATGTCATGTAATTATCATACCCGCTTGCAAAACTTAACAAAGCATAATCTAGTTATTAATTATTATATATTAATTGTTGTGTAGCTGATAGCTCTCTGCGAACTTAAATCACACTAACGCATATAAATTCCGTGTCCCTGCCACGCATATGTATATATATAGATATTAAATATTTATAGATAACTTTTAATTTAATAACATATTTATTTAGTAGTTGCAAATTACTTAAAATAAAAAAAATTTTATACGTAACTCTGATGTTCTATTCATAAACTAAAATATTTATTGATCAACCTTGGATATAAATTATGACTGCTCAATTTTATTCTTTATTGCATTAAGCATCTCCCTCATTTCTTTCATTTGTTGTTGTAGATTATTTACTTTATCATCAAGTTTTTCTTCGGTTTCTCCTTGAATTGCATTTAAAAGAATTGGTGAAATATATGGTTTTTTGACTAATTTCCTTTCATCAGCCTCAATTCCTCGAATTTCATCTCGAAGTTCATTAAAATGAACAATATAATTGCTTTGTTATTAAATTATTAATATAAAGTATTAATATAAATTTACATATGTATATTTAAAAAAAGAAAATTAATTATAAATTTACGCACAAGGTTTCTGGGAACCATTCATATTTTCTTCTCTGATGTGGTAATAAATAAAATAATTCAATTTCGGCTAAAGCCTAAATATATTTCAAAGTTATTAAATTAAAACTTTTTAAAATAAAAAATGATTAACGAGTATAAGATAATGGTTATGCAACGATTAATATCATGAGATTTATCATCTTATGAACCAATATCGATGTTTTCGTGCATTATGACAAGTCGTGGTTGGCTAACTGAGTTTACTTCGGGATTGTTGTGCTTACGTAATAACGTGTGCAAAATGCTTTTCTTGAATGTGTGCCAGGTTTGTGGCGCAGCAAAAATTCTTCGAAGTTCGTTTATGTTAGGGTTAGGGTTCGGGTTAGGGTTAGGAAGGGTGTTTATATTGTAAAATTGTCTAGCGAAAACTTTTTGTTAATGCACTAAA